AGGGCTTGTTTCTGTAGTTGTTGTTATATGGTGCCTTCAAGTGCAGTTGCTGTGATATATTAAAAAGTATGTTTTCTTTAGAGTATTATCACCTGAAAATAAGAATCATTGAGTTTTTGTAAGCTTAGAATGAGCCGTTTATTTATAAAGATGGAGCTGCTCCTCCTCACAGAGCAGCTGACATGTTTTTACAGTAACCCAGAACGGACAAGACCTGAGACCTCTGTTAAATTCATAGATGCACAAAATTAACTTATAAACAGTAAAATTGTTGTCATCATAACTTCACCTGTTGTGAAGGTCAGGGTTTTGGTGGCTGTAATGGTCTTTCTGTGCACTTGTGGTGTTACAGCCCTGTAAGAAGCATTGGCTGTGATGGAGCCTATCGTATAAGAAGCAGGTTAACTTGTCCATGATGTGTGAAAGGGACTCGACAACATCACTGAGATAAAGCTCTCCGATCCGTCTCCTCTGGTGCAGCCCGGCCTGTGTCAGGGACCTAAACTGTGTCAGTAATATTCCATTAAAGGTGATAATACAATCAGGACGGCGAGGCTTTCAGCAGATTATGGCGGCTGGAAGGAGAGCAACAACATGTGTTTGTGTGTGCGGGTGGGTGAGGGTCAGTATCACCTGTCCTATATGAGTCACATCTGTCAGTGAGAGAGATTACAGTTGAAATTTAACTAAAAAAAAAAACATCTGGGGGAATAAAGAAACAATTCTGGACAATTCTATATGTCAATATTTCCAAAACTGATAATTTTGTTGGTAATTGTTTGGTCATTTTCAAGCACCTATTATCTTTTAATCAAAGGTCTTATGGGATGGCTAACTATGATTTTGAGGAGAAAATAATCAGCAGAGAGAGTGAGTGCATTAAGTTCCCTGTTTGGCTGCTTTATTATTATTCTGGAAAATATATAAGCTTTAGACAGATAACCTGTCCTCATTTCCAAAACAAACACATGAATGATTTATCCAAAGTAAACCAGATCAGAGTATAATGCTAAATTACAAACAGGGATAAAGGCAGCAGATAGAATCAACTGTTAAGTGTGTGTGTGTGTGTGTGTGTGTGTGTGTGTGTGTGTGTGTGTGTGTTTGTACAGTGCAAATCCTCTTTGAGAGGCCAGTTTTGAGCAGTCTGCTAATTATCACATTCTCTCTGATCTTGGATTAAACTACAGTCACACACCCCCCACCCCCACCAACACCCTGGCAACAAGACTCCACGGCAATAGTGTGGAAACAGGGCACCATGGAAACAGCCTCACTCCTATAAGCACTGGTGGATGCTGGGTTCAGGAGGAGAGGATTGTGGGATATGGTGCCCTGTGTTCTTTAATTTGATCTAACTTCATATTTACTTTTATTCTATTTTATATCATTTATTTGTGACTTTGGGCTACACATATACATTTTAATTGACTTCGCTGTGTACAAGGTGGAAAAAGATGAATGTTTTTAGAGATAAATAAAAACGTGGTGATGCAAATTTATGACATTATGAGTCTCAAACCAATCCAAGTTAAAGTCATACTGCAATTTCATTTTAAATAAATACGTTGTAATGAATTATTAATTAATCTCAGAATATTGACAATAAAATGACTAGAACTATTTTGTCTATCAATTAATCATTTCAGTCAATGTTTAACAGAAGGGCCAACAATTTAACGGCTCTAGCTTTTCAGTGTTAGGATTTCCCATTTCTTGTTTTATATCATTGAGCCAATTTTGGTTTTCGACTGTTGGTCAAACCCAAAAAAAAGACATTTGAAGACGCCACCTTGGGCTTTGAAATGATGAACGTATTAACAGAGGAAGTAATCAGCAGATTAATCAATAAAGAAAAGAATCATTAGATGAAGCCCTATATACAGTAATCAGTATAGTTTAATCAATCAAACAGGCAACAGTTAAGTGCATAAGTATAACTCCTGCTCTCCAAATGCTAAGAAATCCTTTACTAAAAGAGAAATACTCATTGTTACATTTGCTGTTATTTAACTTTTTGTAGCGATTTATTATGATATAAATGTTCTGATTCTGATAGTGCCAAGTTCCATTAGAGCCCTTTTAAAAGAAGAGTAGGATTCTGGGAGATTTAGTTTAATTCACACACTGTAAAACAGCTTTAATTTGGTTTGACTGAAGCGGAGCTATACTCTCACACCTACACAAGCAGAACAAGCCGGAGAATGAGACAGGAGGGGGAGCAGGAAGGAGAGGAAAGACAGAGCAGGAAAAACGCCAGAAGGAGGAAGGAGACTGGCAGAGCAGCATCGAAAGAGGTTGGTTGACTGAGATGGAGACGCACCAAGTGTGGCCGCAGGGAGAGAGAGAGCATCAGAGGGAAGGGAAGAGGAGAGAAAGAGAAAGAGAGAGAGAGAGAGAAGTAAAGCTGATGCAGCTCCTGAGCAGAACAAATGTGTTTGGAGCTGCTGAATATAGGTCACACATCTCCAGTGACTGTTCCCATCCCTCCACTGAACCAGCCTTCCTGCAGCATGCACTTCATACAAAATCATGCATTTTTTTGGAACACAATCTATGGACTGCTAAATTCACGCCTATAAGCTTTTTACATCAAAATGCATTGCACAAAAGAAAGGACTGCATTTTTTACTGCAATTAGATGACTCCAACCGTGGTTCAAGCTCAAACACGGAAGCTGCTTTGAGATTTGCTATTTGTGTAGAGTGTTTCACAGCTTATATCAAATACAGAACGTATATGATTAATATTGTAGTGCTCTTTGCAGGAAAAAAATCAACTCAGTGAGAGAAAGCTCTTATTGCTCTACTACTGTCAGTATGTAGTGGCCACTCAACAAATTGCCTTTGAGTGGTAAATTATTTTTTTTACAGACTGAGGGAAACCAGAGCAAAGAAGAGGAAGAGGAGAGGACTGTGTACTTGCCAAAGACATGACAGAAAGAGAGGCTATAAACAGGCAGATATAATACAGCAACACGGCAGCAGGCTTCAGATAATGTGTCAAAGCTGTTCTTTCCACATTCACACCTGTCTATCTCCTGGTTATTGGCCCATGGTGGTTGTGCACCTGTAGTCCAGACCTATCACACACACACACACACGCACACAAAACACTAACACAAAATGCCACCCATCTTGCTCAGACACATGACATCCAGGCCGTCTTATGTTAATGAGACATACTTTACACTGTACTGTCATCCGAACACAGAGCACATAATGTCACTGAAACTACCATATTCCAAATCTAACCAAACTAGTTTGAATATGGGGGGATTATACAGTAGACTACTGCCACCTGACATTTCATGCTTGGCTGGTCGGCCAGCTATCATGTTTTCTGCCTGGGTTGAGAGAGAGAGGTCAGCTGTTCACTCTTTCTGGTTTAAAGGATAGAGACAAGTGGAAGAGCGCAGTGGTATGAAATAAAGATTGCAGAGCAATGAAACTAAGTGGATGTTGGACCGACACTTCCCGAGAGAATTGCTTACTCAGCTCTCCGCTGCATGAAGTCAGGTTTCTGGGTATCAGATGTGCAGTTTATGCAGGACTGCGGGCCTCAACATCATAACTCAATAAGTCACTCCATTTTCAGGTCTCACATGGGCTTTCAGAGTCTGTCCCTGCTTGGGATGCGGGGTTGGTGATGTGTGGTCTGTGAATCAATGCTATGATCAATATATTACACACAGACTGATGGGAAATGGAGCAGGAAAAATGGCAGTTGCACTTAGCAGTTGCTGCATGATCATCCGAACAGTTGTCATGACTTTTGTTATTGTTAAAATTACACATTATTACCAGGATTCAATCTGTTTTGTTCCCCAGCAACAGCCAGAAAATCCAGGACCTCGGACACCAGTGCTTGCCATGGACCTACCCACACAACCACTCACACACACACACACTGATAAATGGCATGACATCACTGCCAACGTGGAAGGCATTTAAACCCATATCAGATTAACTTAAGAGGGGGGAGGATAAGTAGCTTGGAGAGGACGGATATTGGCATCAAAGTCAGCGGACAAGACAGCGTTGCGTGAGACTGTGTGGATGCATGTGCCACTGAATGGTGCGCGTGGACCGAAACACAAATGAAAGGAGGAAAGAGGTAAGATGGGTTTGCAATGAAGACCCTACATGGAGGGGTAAAGGAATGGAAATACAGAAACCCCATCAGGCTTGGTTTTACAAGCATGAGAATGGTTTGTCAGATTAATCCCAGGATGCTGGAGGTGAAAGCCTGTGAGGCCTTTTTCCCCAGTAGGCAGTAGAGGAATGCAATGGGCTGAATTAATAACCTCTGATTTATATTCAGTACCAGTTGTTAACCATTTGTCTCACCTATAGCTTCCATCTACACACACACACACACACACACACACACACATATCCCTCCTCCTCCTTCACCCCCTCCTCAATTCTCGCAGCCGTGTTCCGACCCATATACCCACCCATAGATCCCTGATTGACAGCGCACTAAAAAGCACAGAAAGGCTGTCTAAACAGCAGCATGGTGTGGGAGGGCTGTTGCTGTGGGTCAACACGGTCTACCCTCCGTTAACAGATTGTCTTTAATCCGAGAGCCAGCTTTATGGATGCAAAAGCCCGTGTCAGCTCTCGTTTGGCCAATTTATCTGCAGCTCTGCTCTGAATTAATTCACCTAGCCGTCCGGCAGCCGGGCCCTGATGCTCTGCAGTGATAATAAAATAAACGGGGTGTTTGTTTTGAATCGACACATATAGGCATGCGGTTTAGACACAGGCTTATTGCGTGTGGGGGTGTGTTAGGAACTGTGAGGAATGGTTCCAGTCGATGGAGGCAAAGCAACACCTGCCGAAACCAAAAACCAATGGAAATCAAAAGACAAACAGCAAAAGCATCACGTTGGGCCGTGCATCGGTGCAAATGCATAGGCAAATGCACGCCGTGAAAGGCTTAATCTGTCATCGGTGTTCAGCTCCATAACTGTGACACATATTTCCATAGCTTACCTCTGTGAAAAACCCCTCCATCCTCCTTCTCCCTACTCCTCCCAGACGACGCGCGCCCGGCCCCGCAGAGCGCAGACACCGGCTCCGGTCTCGGCTGCACAAATCTCGCCGACGGAAGGGTGAGCGTGTTGGTCGGGATGGGGGAAAAGTAGCGGTTCCTCCGTGTTGGTGTTTCCCATTCACCGAGCGTTTGTCTTCATCTCCGAAATGGCTCAGTTGCTCAAACACACCTCGGCAGCGTCCGGGCTCTATGCGCAAAAAGCCACATGAGAAAAATCCAAGGAGGCTGTGATGAAAAATTAAAAAGGTCCACACCAGGGATCCGTTGGAGGAGCGCTAATTGACGCGCCCCGTGTTTCCAGGTCTGCCTCGTTTCAGCGTTCCAGTGTCTGTGTATGTGTGTGTGTCTGTGGATGCGCGTGTGTGCGTGTGAGAGAGGCTGTGGGTAGGCTATAGTGCGTTCGGTTGAGCGAGAGGACCAGTCCGGGGGCAGAGTGAGCTTTACGCTGCCCACCTCACACACCGACGGGGCGGTGCAGACACAGCCTCCTCCAATGCAAAACACACGCATTCAGCTCACACACACACACACACACACACCTACACACACGCACACACAGGGCAAATGAAGGGTGGTATAGGTTTTAAGTTCTGTTGCTGTTGTCAACGCTGACCACATCTGGAGTTTTTTTCTTCTTCAATCTGAAAAGTATTGAGGTAAAAAAGAAAACTGGATCACTACAGTAGTCACCATGTGTAAAGCCTTCCAGCGGGGAATAAGTTGCTTTGGTGGGTGACTACTAGAATAAATGAAAGAGCCCAATTACAGTTGTTGATCATGAAATGAACCAGATTGTCTATCAGCAGCAAAAACAGGGGAAAGAGGATTTATGCAATGAATGGTTCACAAAGTTGTGAACCATTCATTGTCAATAGTCATACAACTTCTAAACCCTATAAAGGTTGATTTGTTATAAAGTGGTACAGCATTATGACCCCTACATACCTACTTTTGCATGTATAATATACATTAGAAGTGATTCTTGAAGGATAAAATTATTAATGTTGACAAGTTGGCTTGAGTGAATATTAATATGTAACAACACAGAGAAAGAAATCCTCCTATCACTGACTGAATTGATGTCTAAATTAACCATGAGGCAAGAGCTGTCAGCAGTATTCATGTGTATCAAAAGAGAGCCTACAGTTGCATAGGAGAAGGAGGCTTGGTTACAGGGTTAGTCAGAGCCCCTGTAGGGTGAAAAATGATATCTCACGATACACACACACACACACACACACATACACAGACACATATATGCACACAGGATCAGAACAGCAGGGGAAAAAAAAACAAAATCAAGGAACATAACACACAATGTCCCCAAAGACACCAGTTTGTATGAATGAGCTAGAAATGGATAGACAGCTGGTTTATGTGATGTGGACCGTGTGTGGTTTTATTCTCCTCTTCAGAAGGCCAAGCTGAGGGGGCCAGGTGCAGCCATCAGGAGCCCAGTGGGGTGAGGCCTCTCTGGGGTAAAGCATTGTGAAGCTCAGCCTGTTCCCCCTGGAGCCCTGGAGGCATAGAGGGGGCCTCCTGTATGCATGCCAGGAAGTATTATTTGATGTGGCCCCCATCTTCATCAGGGAGACATTTCAAAAGCTTTAGCCTCGACTACCCCATCTGTTGGGCTAAACACACACACAAACACTCAGGAAATGAGACCCGATCTTTATAATCTTTAATATTAAGTGGCTTTAAGGGAGAACTCCTATAGTAAACTTGCAGCAGAACAGACCATGAACACACATCATACACTCGTGCTCACTCTAAACTGTAGGAAAGGTTATCTTAAACGGGAGGAGTGGTGTATAAACATAAACCAGTACAACAGAAATCCCCCGTCCAGTTGGTCACCAAACCCAAAGATATTTTTGTGTTTCATTGTTAGAGAATATCTATAGTCACTGTAGATATTCAGTAACATGCACTAAAAACAATTGCCAATGTTATATTGCAGTGGTGCGTTTCTTTTCAAATTGAATGAGGCCTCGCTCTGAAGGTTGCTGACATCATTGGCCATTTTGTGAGAAAAGTGGGGATTAATGTTCTGCCTGTATTGGAAAAATTTTGATTAGACAATGCATTTACTGTATAAACCAGTCATGATACAGGCTACACACAAAATCCTAAATGCACCAAAATCTGTAAGCAAATGTACATGCTTAACTATGTTTATTTTAAGCATTTTGTTTTAAATCAATGAGAGTGGTTTATCACACCGGCACCATTCAGATCATGTTAAGTAGAGCTGAAACAATTAGTTGATTAATCAAACAATTGATTACTTTGATAACTGTTAGATCAGTGAGTGAGAGCATTTCTGTTGCTCTCAGTCACTGATCTCAACATGGCGACGGCTGAGCTAGCGGCTCACAGCAAACGGTGCAAACAGCGCTAACAGTGCAAACAGCGCTAACAGTGTTTACCTGAGTGGAAACCGGAGGGTGTGTGCTACGCTTCCCAGATGACGCTGTGGGTTGGGACAGCGTTATCAGCTGTAAGAGCGCAGTGCAGAGCGGCGGCTGTGAGCTAGCCAGTGGGGCACGCTAACATGCAATAGCATGCACTAAAAGCATGCAAGGCCCAGCTATGTCAACAAACCAAGGCACAGCTCAGATTACAATTTACACATAGTGTGAGAGCGACTTCATACTCCACTAAATAGCAAATAGTTGTTTGCTGCTATATTACTGCTCTGACTCCCTTTAAATTGCACCTTTTAAAAATAAATATGTTAACTAAAAAGTTGGCAAAACTTTTGAATACCCTTCATGTTGTCTGCACTAAACCCCACCCGACTGGTACTCCAGGATGTATGAAACAAATGTACTGAACATATTTTTGATCTATATGAAAGTCAATAGCATACCGAATGCAACGGACACAAATTTGCACAGAAAAATCCCTGGAGTGGAAAGAGGGAGGTTGTGCTAAAAGCCATCGACCCAACTCATCTAACATGCACATGTATACAGGAGCACACACACATGCATTGAAAAATGCATTTAAATACACAGACATAAGAAAGTCTGGGCTATTAAATTCTCATTACTTTGACAACACCAGGACTGTGTGACCCTCAGCAGTGAATTGTGGGACAGATTTTGTTCCCTGCGAGTCAAGAGCAGAACTCTGCTTACTCATCTGACCACAGCTCTCTGTCCCTCTCTCTTTCTCCTTGACGTCTCCTTCTCCTCTTACTGTTACACTGAATGTGTGTGTGGGGGGTGTGAATCAGAGAGAAGTGTGTGTAGTAGACAGATCATCAATAGGTCCCTCTGGTTCTCCAAGTGAAAACGCAGACAGATTACCGAAGAGCTCAACGCTGAGCCCACCCATCGCACAGTACTTCATCTGTACGTACACATCTATGGAACTGACAAACAACACTTACATACAGTTAAGAAGCACATCATTTAACACATGTTTCTGGTAACTGGTGGGTGAATGGGTGCATGTCATATGTTGCAAGCGGTAATATGCATCACTCACAATGTCACAGCCAATCAGTTTTATATCCGCGGCATCCATAAATCTCTCCTCATTTATTAACCTCTGTCTCTTTCAGTTGTCCCTTCCTCTGTGACCCGACGCTCTCCCTGCAGACACATCTGTTTATGGCTGTCTGAGAGGACACGCTGAATCAAAGGGATGCAGAGAAACTCAGTGTGAAATGCCCTGATCATCAACCTTACTTGTACTGGTTAACTGGTAAAATGGGACAATTCAAAGTAAGGCCTGGGGGCTAAATTTCAACAAGCTCTGTTTTGTTTTTTACAATGGTCCCAGAGATACAAAGATGCTTTGTTTGGTCTTATATACTTAAATATATGTATAAATACCCCCCATCAAATATACATTAAAGGATTCCCCTTGCTATATATTAAAAATAATCAAATATTTAATGGTTGATACCCTTCTTCATTCTTATATTAATCTACCAAGTTACTAAACTGGCAGTGCAAGACAAACTATGTTATAACAATCACTGCAGCAGCTTTATTAAAACATGTTTTCATTCATCTATATTAGGGTTTGTGACGCGTTTCCCAGTGACACACAAACACACAAACTCTCACACTCTTGAGGAAATGTAATATCGAGCAGATGAGGTTACTTAGTCTCTAATTTAATTTACTTTGAATGACTCAATATTAAACTTCTGCCGGCAGAGGCCAAACACTTCTGTTCGCAACAGTATGTTTCCACACCAGTCACTCAGATTCTCATCACACCAAATTAAAACAAAGCATTAAAGCACAAACACTTTTATACCAAGAGAGCTTCTCCAATAGTCCAATTATGGATAGAATACCATACCAGCTGAATCCCTCCGTTGGAGTTATGGTTGATCAAATTAAATTGCTCTTGTAAACTGATGGAGCAATAACATCCACCCAAGAATGCAAACAGGGGCAAACTGCTAGCCTGACTCCGCTCAAAGACAACATCCGCCTACCTGGCTGGACACAGTCACTTCCTGGAGTCTCCCCTGGACTGTCTTTGTGCAACGCTAAGCTAAACGGCTATTTCGTCAATTTTCTTATCTAACTCTCTGGAGGATGTTCCCCAAAATGTCCCATTATTAATTTAAGGGAAGCAACTCTATATATTGTTAAGTGTTTCTGTTATTTTTTTCCACCAGACAGTTTTTATCTGTCCTCACATGCCATCATCTTCCTCTGTATTGATTATCAACTAAACTGTTGATCTTGACCTTTAACTTTTTTGTCTAGTGAGCAAGTCTGATGGACATCTGCATGTCTGGATGCCCAACTTTACTCCATTTATGATGCATTTAACAGGGATACAGTAACAAGAGAGTAAGGACAGAGAGACAAAGTGAACATCGAGGCGTACAAAGATCTGAATTGTTGATTTTTAAGTTAAAATAGTAAATCATTGCAATAAATAGAAAAACAAACATTATTTTAATATTGCTACTCTATATTAAAAAGGTGGAAAAAGTGGGGGAAAAAGAATACAAAGATGCTCAGCCACTGTGGTGCTTGTGAGGGACAATCCATGAAGTGGTGTCAGAGTTCACTCCCCGGAGACAAGTAGGCTATACTGAACGAGACAATGATTCATGCATTCATGTCTGATGCACACCTCCCCCCACACACACAGACACACAAACACACACTCTCAGAGAGTGATATGATGTCACCCGATGTGCATGACCCATGCAACACACTTGGCTCTGGATTCAAAATTGAATCACATTTCTCAGAATAAATGAGGATGAAGAAGGTCATTTTGGAAAGAAAGTTACTGACCAGTCGACTTTTTAAAGGGAACAAAATGTAGGTGCTCAAGTTATAATTACTATCAGCAGACCGTGAAGTGTGCATTATTGCTCCTATCCGAAGACAGCGGTGTACTATTTCAAAAAAATCATTTGGCCAACAGTGCTATATCAGCAAACTATAAATGAGAGTTTGACATCCTCTCCTTACAGGTAATCCCTATTTCCTTCACACACACATACAGACAAAAACAATCTAACTTTGTCAAACATCTCCAGTTAAATACAACCCGGACAGGAAATTGTTATTAAACTGATTCCTTCTGTGTGTGCGTGGGTCTGTGTGTATGTGTGTGCGTGTTATTTTCTGTCGACAAGTGTCCAAAACATCTTTCAGGTGAAATAAGGGACCACAAAGGTTGTGCAATATGGGGTAATATAAATATGGCAATAAACATAAGACCTCCTTCCACATCAATGTTCAGGTTTGGAAAATTGCAGGTTAATAATATAGCTGATAATCACACCGCACTGATTGACAACATTTTCAGGTGGCATATTTCAGGGACCACCATTAAGCTTATGTTCCTAGTAGGATCTTTAGAAACTTAGGGGTTTTACGGGAATAAACACAAATAGGCGGTATTTTGAGGCTGGTTGATATTAGTGCCTATCCAATAGTTTTACTTTGGAGGATATAAATAGGTTTTGACTCATTTGGTAAAAAAATAGCAAACTTCCCAAAGTGTACAAAGATTTATTGAGGTTTAATACCTGTTAACCCCACATTACTTCAGTTTCTTTCCCGGCAGTTAAGAGAAGGCTTTGAAACAGTCGACTGTCATGCTGGGACATTGAGACACTAGACTGAACAAATGACATATGAAAAATAAAAGATTTCGATAAAAATGTAGGGGTCGGAAGACTCAGAATTCCTAAAATCCTGAGTGCGGTAACTATAAATTGACATAATTTAGATAACAACTGAATCATGATTTGCCGAATCAAAAAATAATTCCTCAAAATGATAACAGCAATAGATTAAAACAGTAATCTCTTGAATATTTGCCAAGCCCTACAGGAAGTGGGACAATTAGGGCTATGCTGGAAAACCGCCCCAGGGGTACCAGCAGCGAGAGGAAGACAAGCAACGATTACATTTTCATTTTCAAGGAGTCCAATGTTGCACCCTGTGTAAATTATTTGTGCATGTGTGTGTATAGATTCCATACATGCTGTGTTGAGTTCACATGGGTGCAAGCCCAGGAAGGAGCTTGATCTGATTATATAGAGAGATGACATCATCCTGATTCCCTTTTCCCTGCCCCCCATCCCGGCACCCCCACCTGCCACACCCCACTCTACCCCTGCTATCCCAGCACCACCCATGGCAGCATGACAGCACGTCTTTGGACCAAATTAGCTGTCAATGCAACCCTCTAATTCCCAACAGACAGTGGGGTAATTTAATCAGCCAGCTATATAGCCTGCAGCAGAGTACTATCATGCTCACACACACACATACAGACACAACAGTCCAGAATCATAACATACAACACAAGTTATTCACAATGAGTGTTGCAACGGAAAGAAAAAAAAAAGTAATTTAGTGGAGAAAGAAGTGGATGAGCTCTAACTCTAGTTTTAGCTTCCTTTTAGATCTGGAAAACTCAAACTATCTTATTTTTCAATTATCTATAATATGTCAATGTGATACTTTTTGGTTGTATTTTGTCTTTTGTAATCAGGAAAAAGGGCAAAAATGTTTTAGCTCAGTCAGGCCAGAAAAGTAATCCCTACATCTTTAGATTATCTGTAACAACTGCAATTTTACCCTTTACTTTTCCTGTACAAACGTCAACAAATTAAGTGAATTAACATAAAGTGAAGCAATGCAAGCACGGTCTAACAAGAGGTTGAGGTGAGAAACTTTGAGATATACATTACTTTTATATCTCAGTTACTGTTTGTGGTTTATCAGCTATTGAGCTCAGTTGAGACAGACTTTTTCAACTAGATTAAACTGAATGAAGCCTAATCCTAATCAGAACAGATTAAATTGCCCAGATCACTATAATAACTGGATTGCACAGACTACCCCCTGCCTCAAGACATCCCTGCCCTTTTTTTAAAAAGCTGCACCCACACATACACACAAACAAACAGACACACTGTCAGAACAGGTTACATGATGGAAAATAAAGAAAATTAGAGAGGAGGGGCGAGAAAGAGATTGAAAAATGTATTGTGGAGGTGTTAAAGAAAGACAGATATAGCACAGAGAGCTGCCAACCTGTCAAACTGTTAGCGTTAATGACTTTGTGCGCAATGAGCATATATGTTTGCGTGTTTGTTTGTCTTTTTGTTTGTGTGGACTGACTAGCCAGGTGTCTGTGTGTGAAAAACACACTTATATTCATCAGAGCGACATAAGGTGAGCTTGGCTTTGCAAAGCATCATCTTGGTGCTATGGAGTCATCTACATCTGCCCATTTACTGTATGCTCATAGAAATATGATGCACAGGCAAAGCTTTAAGAGATCACATTATTTGGTATTAATAACAAAACATATAGAGGCCATGCTGCTCTTTTGATTCTCAACTTCTCAATCTGAGTCTGAATCTCAATATTTGCCAAGAACGTTATAGGATCTTTAGTTGGTGTGCTCTCAGCTTCATTTGACATAGAAATAATGTATTTTAAAAATGTTTAAGTAGCAGAAACTAGCAGACTATCCATGGTAATGGCTGCTGTTCATTTTGGATATAGTACGTTTTAGGCCTCTACAGCAAAAATACACAGTAAACACAAACTTAAAGTCCTTAAATCAATTAATTGGTGGAAGTGTATCAACATACTGTCTCTATTTTCCTTATAGTTCTTTGCTTGAAAAGTTTCAGATATTAGAGGAAATAATTCTAATGAAATGAAGAGTTACCATTATTTTAATTTCTTTCAGTGCATACTGTATATGATAATGTCGTTCAGCTGATCAAAAGTCATGTTCTAAAGACTCATTTTAAGATGTAAAACAACAATAGATGACAAAAATCAATTAAAACTCTGTGTAATAACAGGAATAGTCCCACGTTATTGTTTTTAATGTACATGTAGAATCCTCATGTAGCAGCATCACCAAGAGTACACTTGCAGTATGACAGAACCGTATTGTAGTGCTACTTAAAACGGCCAGGCGGTGGTAGTAAACACCCATTTAATTAGACAAATCACTGTAACTGAGGAGCCCGTCGAGGAGGCCCATCACGCAAGGCGTGTCGGTCCATATATACAAAACACGAATCCAAGAGCCCGCCTCTGACCGCACCTGATTGGTTGGCTCTTCTTACCGTTAGGGAACTCTCTTTCTGATTGGATAACCTCCCTTTCCCCACAGCTATGACAGACGCCACACGGCTAGCTGTTTCGAAAACGAAACTGGCTCGTGTATGACTCCCGACTTCGAGAGGCTGCCAAAGAAAAACGAAAACGAGACGGGTATTAGATTAAAAAAAAATAATAAAAATCCCGGGATAGGCTGCGGAGGTGGAGGAACCAAACGGTAAGAACTCCATGCGGCGACATGTTTTTTTGAGAGGGAGGCAGGCCCGTGCTGTCAAAACCACGACAACAACAACACCTGAATCGGTTCTCCTGTGTGGTCTTCGTACTCTGACTTGTCTCTCCTGTTTTTTTCCTGTTTCAAATAACTCCCAAAAGCTTTTTCGTTCATCTCGTTTTTAGGTTTAGCCTCGTGCTGTACTGCACTGCCTCCGAAAAGAAATATGACATAAAGCCCCGGTCCTACAGTCTGTTATGGTCCTACAAAATTTTTCTTCCTTCTTTTTTTTTTACAGCTGGTAATGTTGAGTAAATACCACAGCTGGAGAGGACGTACTGCACTGCAATGGAGGTAAGATAATTTCTGAAAATGACATACACCATAGCTCTGCTTTGAGATAGTATATGTACGTTAGACGTGTCCCCAGTTAATAGATCTTTCAATGATCTAGTATCTCTTCCCACCTACAGTAAAGACTAACTTATATGTATAACGATGGTCCCTGATTTGTGGTGTAAGGACAGTTATCACACCATAAGATTTAGATGTTTCTGTTGTGTAAGCCAAAATAAGATGCTTCTTAACACTGTTGTTGTACTTCATTCCTGTTGGGTGCCATTGTTTCGTCATCATTGTGTTGTATATATTTATTTGTTTGTTTGTTTGTACTCTAAACCATGTAATCTTGGTCTTGAGTCAATACAATCTGTTGAGTCTCTTTTGGGACTTTGGTGGTTTCATGAGAGGCTGTGGTCTGTACTACATGTTTTCCATAACATAGGGCGTAAGTGTTGAATGAGTTGATTATTAACATATCATATGAGGTGTAAACCTTTCTCCTAAGGCCTCTTTTCTTCCCCTCCTCTTCCTCGTCCTGTTTACTCGTATGTGTTCCTTCATCCCTCTTGCCCTCCCCTCATCTCTCCCTGACGTTCTCTGGCCTCTAGTCTGTAGCAGTGGTCTCCGCTACCTGGTGAGACGTAAGCTGCCGTCACTATGGCGCACTTTGACACAGAGTACCAGCGCCTGGAGGCGTCCTACAACGACTCTCCGCCTGGAGAAGAGAACCTGCTGATGCACGTGCCTGAGGGAGCCAAATGTATGACATGCGAATGCAAATCACAAACAAATCATGAAGTTATCACACACACATAAACACACATTACACTTATAGTGATGGCTAACTAACAACAACACTGTTACTAATGTTGTAATACATATTTTGCAGCCCAATGGCACCATATAGAAAACCTGGACCTGTTTTTCCAGAGAATATCCTTTTTACGTGGATTTGGCATGTGTTCCTAATGTGTTGTGTCCTTAATGTCTATGACGCATGAATTGTGCTTTTAATACAAATCGTGTTGCTAACCTCAGATACATTCACAATATTCCTTAACATCCGTTACGTCTATAATCTGCACCAGAAGAATGGATTCACATGTATGCTGCTGGGAGAGATCTTTGAGCTGGTGTATGTATCCTATCCATCAGGAACTATGTTTTTGTGTCTGTCTGTAGGAAGTCCGTATATGGCAGAGCTTGATGTAGCACCTTCTCTCCTCTTTCTCTCTTTCTCCTTGCAGTCAATTGCTGTTTGTGGTCGGCTTCACGGTGTTCCTGGCTAACTGTGTGGACTATGACATACTCTTCGCCAATAAGTTTGTAAATCACACCGATTCATCTAAAGTCACCTTGCCCGATGCCTTCCTCCCGGTGGATGTCTGCAGTGCCCGGTGAGTGTGACACTGTCATTTAGTCAATGATTATTTCTTGTGTTGTGATTGTGTTTGTGAGATAAAGAACCATCGACACTCAAACATGAATGTTTAAGACGTTCTCAGTATGTCGGGAGACCTCACTGCAGTTGGATGTATATGTCTTTGAATTATAAAAGTGAATATCTTCTCCCGCAGTATCCGAGACAATGCGTTTGTGATCTTCGTGTTGATAATCTCTGGGGTGTTTTGGCTACATCGCCTGGTCAAATTCATCTACAACGTCTGCTGCTACTGGGAGATCCGATCCTTCTACATCAACGCACTCAAGATGACCATGGTGAGACAGACAAAGACGTTTGTTTTAGAAGGGTATTGAATATTTTATTTGCTGGCATTGTTTACATTTATTGTACCAACCGGGTGCTTTTTTTTACTTTTCAGTCAGAACTTCCCTATGCAACATGGCAGGAGGTTCAGGCCCGGATAGTGGAGATCCAGAAGGAGCACCAGATCTGCATCCATAAAAAAGAGCTGACAGAGCTTGACATTTACCACCGCATCCTCCGCTTTAAAAACTACATGGTTTGTCCGCTTGTGATGACATCTTAATCCCACTGTTTGGTTTCTGAACTATTCATGTCTGATGCGGCTACTTGCAAACACAACAGAACAGTGTGACCTCAAACCAAAACCTTCTTCCTGCACTTCTCCAGGTGGCCATGGTGAATAAATCACTCCTTCCTGTGCGATTTCAACTTCCTGCACTTGGGGAGTCTGTGTTCTACACCCGGGGTCTCAAATACAACTTTGAGCTCATCTTCTTTTGGGGGCCAGGTGCGTCCGTGTTGACGATGTGATTAATTTTCTATGCACAGCATGTTTTTGTCTTGTCTTTCCATGGTGTCATTTTCAGGTGAGAGGAACCATTTGCATGCACACGCTTATATATTTGCCTATTTGTCAAGGTTTAGAATTACAAAGGAGCATTCTCTTTTACTTCACTTTGGTTTTTATCCTTGGTTGCTCTGTAGGCTCTCTGTTTGAGAACGAGTGGAGCCTGAAATCAGAGTACAAGAGAGGAGGTAACAGGCTTGAGCTGGCTGACAGGCTAGCATCCCGTATCCTGTGGATTGGGATTGCCAACCTGCTGCTGTGTCCAGTCATTCTGGTGTGGCAGATTCTCCACGCCTTCTTTAGTTATACAGAGGTAAGTGGTTCACATGCACACACACACAAAGCCTTCTACATTTTATGTTCTCATTTAGTGCTCCAGACAATAGTTTGTTGTGTGTGTGTGTGTGTGTGTGTGTGTGTGTGTGTGTGTGTGCCTAGGTGATCAAGCGAGAGCCTGGTTCTCTGGGAGCGAGGTGCTGGTCTCTGTATGGTCGATGTTACCTGCGGCACTTTAATGAGTTGGACCATGAGCTCATGTCACGCCTCAGCAAAGGATACAAGGTCAGATGAGATGGTAGCTTATCTCCTGCCGCCAGTTGATGCTCCTTAGTTGCTTGTCCTCTGATACATTTTATAAACATGTCCTCTACGTGGCAGTGCAAAAGCATCACTTAACAATAACATGGTTTTGTATTAAGATCTTGCTCTTAATACTGATACCGGTGCCTCTCATCAACTGCCTGTAAAGTTAATAATTTAATCTGCTTCCTCCCATTTCTCTTCCTCTTCCTTTGTTCCTTTTGTTTCCTTCAGCCTGCATCCAAGTATATGAACTGTTTCCTCTCGCCACTGCTGACGGTGGTTGCCAAAAATGTAGCGTTCTTTGCCGGGTCTCTTCTGGCCGTCCTCATCGCCCTGACTATCTATGACGAGGACGTTCTCGCGGTGGAACATGTCCTCTCATCGATCACTCTGCTCGGAGTGTGTATCACAGTCTGCAGGTAGGGGAGTAATGTCACCCAGTTAGTCCGTCGGCTTTTCTGATCTAACTAAAAAAAGATAGTTCAAACATATAATTATATCATTGTTAATTGTTAAGTTATTACCATCGTCACCATAAAACTGAACATCAGAATCAGAATATTAGACACAAATCTTTAACTACGTGGGATGTTCGGGCTGTTAACAATTAGCCATTTCTTTATTGCCCTTTTCAAAGCTACCCGGACTCGTAATCCCTTTAATGCTCTCCTGCAGCTTATTCTGCTCTATAACAGATGAGTATAAGAGGGTTTCCTTCCTTAAGTAGCTCTCAACTATCTGAAATCTTTTAAAAGCTCTTGATTGAAATAATTAGCTTTTTGGGAACAAGAAAACCCAGTTCTATATCTGTATAATTTTATTTTGTACATTCAACAATCCAAGATATTCAAGAGCCTATCCGACAGGATTATTTATCAAGCACTTTTCCACAAACTAGTTAAATATTTTCCATTGATTTTGAACCTCTTTAAGTTGTAAGGCTTCTTCTCCATCACCTCTGTGTCTCTGTCTCTTCAGATCATTTATCCCAGATAAGCACATGGTGTTTTGTCCTGAGCAGCTGTTGAGGGTTATCCTGGCTCATATCCACTACATGCCTGACCACTGGCAGGGCAATGCACATAGATATGAGACTCGTGACCAGTTCTCCCAGCTCTTCCAGTACAAAGCAGTGAGTATGGATACTGAACTGGGAATAAATATCAAGAGTAATCACACGGGAAGTAGCTTATCGAAACTGTGTTTTATACATGGTAGACATTTTAACATATCATAACACGAAAAATATGAGGTGTAATTAATTAACATTAATGGTGGATGTAATCCTTTTAGATAATGCCGGTTTCAGTTTCCCTGCTAGTGTGTGAACTGGCTCATGGACATGGCTGTCTGGGACAGTTATGAATGCATTCAAGCCATCAATAATGTTATTACTTACACTATGACAACTCAAAATGCCTGCTGTGAAAAAGACATATAGTTATTTTGTCAAATCCTCTCTGAACATCTATTTCTATAACTGCTGTTTTTCTAGAGAATATTATCTGAGTACACACAGCTTCTTTTCTCTAATTACCCTCATTCTGTTATTTGCATTCATATCTAAAGAGAGTAAAACTAAAGATTTCTGCTGTTGGCTCTGAAGAAGCTCCACTGAAGCAGTAGTGTTATTCTGAGGAAGCACCTTGTATTTGTTAAGGGAAGAGATTCCCTCTACACTCCCAGATTGTCCCAGCTGGGGGCATTTTGAATCTTAAATCATGAAGTCAGTTCCTCAAGATTTCATTTACATAACACACTCAACTTACGAATCAGAGGCTCAGGATACCGTTGGTGTGATTGCTGAACCCTACTCGGCTACCTGAGTATACAGTGTCAACCTTTCCCCGCTGTTTTTCCTCAAGGTGTTTATTCTAGAGGAGCTGATAAGTCCAGTCGTGACCCCAATCATCCTGATCTTCTGTCTGAGGAGGAAGTCTCTGGAGATCATTGATTTCTTCAGGAACTTCACTGTGGAGGTGGTCGGGGTAGGAGACACTTGTTCCTTTGCCCAGATGGACATCAGGCAGCACGGACACCCTGCGGTGAGGGACGGCCACATGAAGTGCAGCCACACAGACATACACCGATTGAAAACGCACTTGAAAAATACCCGAATGACTTATCTTTAGACTGTGTGACGTGCATTAGATTGAAATACAAGTGAAATAAGAGTCAAGTGTGTGCATCTGTGGGTTGACCCTCCCTCCTCCCTCTGTAGTGGATGTCAGCGGGGAAGACAGAGGCGTCTATCTACCAACAGGCAGAGGATGGGAAGACAGAGTTGTCTCTGATGCACTTTGCCATCACCAACCCCCAGTGGCAGCCTCCCCAGGAGACCACACACTTCATCAGCCAGTTGAAAGAGCGAGTTCACAGAGAGGCTACAGGGGCAGACACACATCCACTCTCACTGTCCGAGTCTGAGGTACAGGAATAAACCAACATTCATGCTTCAGTATCACAGTGGTCATAAGTTAAATTCCATCGTTTATAGAGGCTAAATTTGAGTTACTCTCTCGTCTCTTGCTCTCTCTCTCTCCCTCTCTCTCTCTCTCTCTCGCTCTCTCTCTCTCTCTCTCTCTCTCTTTTGCAGCCAAGGAGCCTCATTGCAAACCTTTTGGTGGGTCCCTCCACACTGACCTCCATTCACTTCGGCAGAGATGGCTCTTTGAGCATCTCTGCAGCAGCAGCTGGCTTAAGCGATGGGGCATCTGCCTTACGCTCCCTTTCCCCAATCAGCAGTAGTCTTCACCTGAGAGGCAGCTTAAGTGCAGCTCACAGGGCTTCGGGCAACACGTCTACCATGAGCAAAGCAATGGCAGGCTCTGGGTGAGAACATTCTCCTTCTGAATCATGCCCCAACTTCATTCCTTTTGAGGCGACATCTTTCTGTACAACACTAAATATGAACTGGAGGCTAACTCACAGTTCAAAGTGCAAAATGTAAAAGAGCTTTATCGTTATATCCTAGTTTAAACCTTAATTTATAAGCAATACTCTCATCTTCTCATCCCTATCTCCTCCTTTGTGTCCACATTTTCTCCTCTTTTTTTGCATTTTTTCCTCTATAGGACGGATGCCCGGACTGTGAGCTCAGGCAGCAGTGCATGGGAGGGTCAACTCACCAGTTTGTTCCTGTCTGAGTACGCCTCCACTGAGATGAGCATCCACGCACTCTACATGCATGAGGTAATTGGGAGTGAGCGTATGTGGGGAACAGAGTAGAGGACAAAACTGAATGAAGTTTGTGTTGCCACATTTGTCTTCTCATATATCTCAACAAACCTCTCCGTCTTTGGTCCTACCCATTCTTCCTCCGCTCTATTTTTTCCGCCCTGTAGCTACACAAGCAGCAGTCCCGTGGCGAGCTATCCCGTCACACGTGGCACAGGCAGGAGAGCGACGAAAGCAGTGACAGCATCCCTGATGAAGTGAGGAGCGAACCCAACCCACACTCCAGACATTTCCCTCGCTCACACACTTTCCCCACCACAGTTCCCAGTCCCAGTGCCATTCCCACGTCAGCTTCAGCCATCGTCAGTACCACCCTGGGCCAGGAGGGGGCGTCATCACACAGCAGCGGCCAGCGGCGTCATAGTGGATCCCCCACAGGTACCCATCTTTTTGATTGTCTCTTCATCTTTCGCACCACATACATTTGAATGTAATTCTTTTAAATGTAATTTTCTTGTAAATATTTTTGCATGACTTCTGTGCCATACAAAAAGCCCATCATCCAAACGTTCTTCTTAAGAAGTACTTTTCAACTCCGCTGTCTGTGTCCTGTTTTCCAGACTCTTTTGGCGCAGGGGGGAAAGTAGTGAGGTCAGCCCGTGGTGTGCCCATGGGAGGGTGGGCAGAGGAGGGTCAGGCGGCACCGCGGCGCCACGACACACTACCAGAGGAGAGCTCAGAGAATGACATGCCTCCTTACATACACAAGGTGAATGCTGTATGTGTGTGATTGGAAGGACGATGTTAATTTGCCTGATGGCACTGAAAGTATAATTTACATTTTTTTTTCCTCCTTCTCTCACTTTAGATTACATAACCGAGCTATGTGAATGAGTATCAGCGTCCCACAACTCCACAGATATCCAGACACACATCCTCGTCCCTGACCTTAACCTTTGCCCAGGACTTACCGTCTGATCTGACGCAGATGGAGATGGACATGTGCAAGAGCGGTGCACCGTGATTCCTACAAACACTTAACAGGGGAAATCACCTGGTCAAGTTACGACTGATGCCACCATCCACCGTTCAAAGATACTATATGACTTACTACATGCCTAAACAGCCAAACAGGGTAAATATCGGAATTGTGGATCAGAAGAGGACCTACAGGATCAAGTTATTTCTAATAGCCATCTATACCATCAGATTACGCTACGCTCTTTTATAATGTCAAAAGATTACATCATGAAAGTGCATGTACTACTGAAACGTGTGAGCACTGTGCCGCTGTAGAAAAATACATACCAATTTGCTCACAATGTGATCATAATAATCCTAATTGTGCTATCTGTATTTTTCCCTCTTTTACAAATCGGATGACATGAGAGGTGAAATTTGAAGAATGTATGGTGTCTCTCTAACAATACCAGCATTCACCAAAATGTGTTGAGAACGATGTTATTGTACCAGTAGCGGGAGGCTATGTGTCGCACCCTGTGCTCTGTATTTCAGCTGACATTCCACCTCTTCGCAAAACATATGAAGGCCTCTAATTGTATCAAAATCACCTGACATTTTGGAACACGATTTAAACCCTGAGGGATTTCTGGATTTCTTTCTGCATGTATTGCATAACACAGTTCATGTGAATTTTCTCAAATGTTCAGAAACTTTTCCAGAGTCTAGCTCAGTTTGCACAGATTCTTGTTCAGAATATATACTTGTACAGCGTAGATCTCGTGCACTGTGTAAATATATATTATCAGATTACGTCACACAACAATCATTCAGTTTAATTAAATAATCAAATTTACACAATTGAAAGGCCAACATGTTGTGATGTGTAGTCAGACGTGCTGTATGCAAACACATTCTAATCTGATTTAACCCGGGGTTTTTATTGTTTACCGGTCATTGTTTTTCAAAAAGACAAGGCTATTTCAAGCATGTATATTGACTTCTGTGCGATACAAAATACCCTCAAGCACAAGTGCATGACCATCATAAACACATTCTTCTAAAGAGTTGGAACTCACCCCCCAAGAAGAATGACCATCCTCCACATCCTGTTAATTAACAGCATGACTTTCCCCCGTTCTCATTGTTGTCATTAAGCCGCAATTCTTTAAAAGAAGAATTATGCACTTTAATAATCTGTTAATGGTGAGGGTGTCACTTAACTTGGATTATTTGTATGTTTTTGTATGTATGTATAACTTAATTATTTTATTTATCAAAGGGATGTGCCATGATGATTGACCGTTGTGAATAAAGTTTTGGTTTTCTGCTGTGCACTTGGATGGGGATAAAGAAGCACGTTAATATGGTGACGGGGAAGGATGCATTGCTTCAGTGCTGTAATGTTAGATTCATGATTGTGTTTTTTTTAATACATCTTGTCTAATACAATTTTGTACAGTTGTAAATTCCTCCATTAAAGACAAAGCAATGGTGCAATGATTTTGTGTAGACTGAAAAAGTAACTGCCAAGACAAAATGACACGGATAGTGACTTGACTGAATATGCATAATATTTAGTTATTTCACATTGGCGTTAGCTTAGCCTGTTAGCATACGGCGGCTAACTAGGTTACTGTGGGTCGCTAGCTACTGTTAGCTGCTAACAACGTTTATAAGGCATTTACGATGGAATGTCATGCAAAGAAGATGAGTTTTATTATGTATTGTGTATTGCTCGGTCGAAGCCCGGATAGCTCAGTCGGTAGAGCATCAGACTTTTAATCTGAGGGTCCAGGGTTCAAGTCCCTGTTCGGGCGATAGTGTTTTTGTCTTGCGTCCCATCTCCATTTTAGGAGATCTCTGTAGATAGAGCATCCAGAGCATCGGACATTTATTCCTGGCCAGGGTCAAGGGTTCAAAACCCGTTTCGGGTGACGATAATTTTTCTCCTGCATCCCATCTCCAATTGCTCTATGAAGGAACTCTCAATATTAATTTAACAACTATTGTGCTATACATATCACTTTGACCAAACGTTACTTAATTTTCGAATTGCTTTATTTAATGTTAATTGTTAGAATATCGCGTTAATATTTTTAAACTTTTTTTTGTTCCTTTTAAGATTTATGTTTGACCAGTCTTATGCAGTCAGGGCTTCACTTCCGTTGTCTCTCTGTGCCAAGCAGTTTGAGTTTGTAAAAATGTATTGGTTGAAATACTAGACACAAAATACCTGTGTGCTCTCAGTGAACCTTACGCATTGAGTGGTGGGAGTGTGAGAGGGGCTGTTTCGTGGTGTACAGAGGGTAGATCTCCTGCTTGTCCTGTTAGGACAGATGACACCTCTGGTGGCCATGTAGGGTGGCTGATGGGAGGCAGCTGTGGTGCTGCAGGGGTAGTACCATAGTGATGATGATGATGATGATGATGATGTACAGCACTTCCTCTTGGTTTAACATCTGGCCTGACAAAAATGTGGTTTCCCTGGTAACTATCCTGAAAATACAGATTTGGGACTTTCTTGAGAAACAGCGATGACAATTTTTGTAAAGGGTCAGAGTTAAGGCTTTGAGAGCTGTTGTGTGTTGTGTGTTTTTGTGTACCTGCCCAAGATATGTAGTTTGAGGGGCACAGTAACGGGGCACTCCAGGTGGCGACATAGGAGGCATGGCTTTCAGCATCATATTGTGCATTATGGTCTGGTGCATCTGGGCATTTTGCATCAGCATCAATTCCACCATGTCTATCAGAAAAATACACACATATTTGAATACAGTGATATTTAAATAAGATAGTGTTCTGTTTGCTGTTGCATACCCTCTTTGATGCTGCCTGAGCATAGTGCCGGGTAGGGAATCTGAGTAATCAGAGGCTACTGTTGTGGCAGCTGTTGTATTATGGAGGCAGGCTGCTGGGGTAGCTGCAGAGAGCGATAAAGGCAGGGGGGGAATAATTGCATATTTAATTTGCACTATTCTTACACTACTTGAACTCATTGTAAGTCAGTCTGCTATGGCAGTGTCAGTATAAATAACATGTAAAAGGAAATAATAGCGGTAAAAATAAAAGCGAAGAAGGGGATCGGGAGGAGGAGTAGAACATTAAATACACTTAACAGACCACATAGAAACAGCAGATCTCGGGATTGGGGTGTTTTTGAGATTAATGCAGAGTGTCTCTAGTGGAGTGGGAGCGGTGGAAGGGAAGTGAAGAAATGTGACTTGCACTTTTTGTGTGACCCTCCCCAGGTGTGAGGTCTGTTGAGGTCCTCCAATATGTGCTGCTCCTATACACAAAAGATACCAAATGCCAACAAAACACTAACAATTACACGCTTCACACAATGACAAGACATGGGAAAAACATTAGTTAATTGTTCTAACTTATTGGGAATATCTTCCTCTAGTTTTGTAGTCTTCATCTTACTGTCTGAATGTATGGCACGTAAGAAATTATATAAATATATAAATAAATACAAGTTTGTATTCCATGAATACAAAGATAAATATTTTGTACAAACCCTGAGTCTTTTCAGTAGGTCCTGCTTTCGCCTCAGTGCACATTGCAGTTGATCTAGATGTCCATCATAACTCCCTGAACACAAAATCAAATTCTCTCAGAAACTTTCCCCTCTTGCTCAAATATCTTGGCGTGAAAATAAAATGTCTTCTACTTTTTTCATTTTATAACAGGTTCATTTGACCACTGAGTGTATTTAAAGTATGTTATAATATATTTTTCACTTGCCATGGGAATTCATACTTGCAGACTGAGTAGACTCCTCTTTATCGTCCATATTGTGCTTTTCATTTTCCAGTCTCTAGAAATGTAAAGAATATTTAAGATTCAAATTAAGATTTTGATATAAAATTCTCAAGAAAAGCAGAACAAAAATGAAGTTGAACTATTTTCACTTGAGAATGCTAAATGACCAATTACCTTCTCCAGCTGTTTTAGTTTGGGTCTCGTCATTTGATCAACCATACATGTGCCATGTATGGCACATGTTATTTTAAGATTTTAAAATAACACATGTTATTTTAAGTGTTATTTTAAGATTTTCTGTGTGCTGGAATGAACATGATTGAAATACTAGACAAACATGCAATGCAAGTATATGCTTTTAAAGTCTAATTTACCTGAAATCTTGGCATTTGGAGTCACACAGGCTTGGTGTGTTTGTTTGAGTCAAGACTAAAGCCAGACAGTGGTTGCCTGGGGACACACCTGTTTACTTGAGTAACTATTTGGTTTCTATGCTGAGAAAGAGAAGAGGGAGTAAGACTTTCAACATCATATCCTCGCCTAATTCGTTTAAATTCCATTTGCTATTGATTGTATTTTTTTTTAAAGACTGGCCATGTAAAGCCCAGGCTACAGTGCCGAAATGAGGTACAGTCACGCACTGTAAATTATCAGATATATATATTCTGCTAAGTTAGGCCTATATTCCGAATTTCTTTCAACTAGAAAGATATGGATAATGAATGGTGGTAACTTTTCAACACATTTTTAAGACGTACTTTATTGCAAACACACCTCAGTTGCCATAAACTACGCTGTTCCATCGTCATAGAAGCTCATCAGACAGTGGAGGACTCCGTAAATTGCCCACTGCAATAAGACTATATAATAAATCACCTCTGGCCAAATCAATCACACAACTATAACACCGTTACACTGTTGTTTGTTTGGTTGAATCTTAAAAACTTTGCACTACTTTGCACTACTACTATTGTTAGTTAGTTAAATTAATATTATTCTATTTTATTGTATATATTGTGCATTTTATATTATAATAGTTTTCCTCTGCTATTTTTATTGCTTACCTGTATGTATAACTGCTGTAGCGAAAATATTTCCCCTTGTGGGATTAATAAAGTAACGATCTATCTATCTATCTATCTATCTATCTATCTATCTATCTATCTATCTATCTAATTTCACTTTCAAAACAAAGAAGTGAGTGGAGGCATGGTTTGTATTGGCCTGTCCTGATTGGCTATAAAATCCGTCAATCCGAGATTGGTGATTTGACGCAGCCATTTGATTGGTCGACTTGACTAGTTTTTGAACGACGTTCAAGAGATTGGAATATATTTAACCAACGCGAACACCATTGGCTGAATATGTGGAATGTAGTAATTTGATTGGTCCGTCCGTTCAGAAGAACTCGATAAGGGCGGTGCTTAGATGCCTTGGCGGCCATATTGAAAGTTGTCTGTTGACAGTTGAGTTCTAAAGGAAGCTCAAGATTTTGTTTTAGCCAACTTATGCTACAAGTGAAGGTCTGGTGTGCTTTTAACTTGAATTAGGACGTGTGTCCTATACTTTTAACTGTTTGATTCAAGACAAGAGATGGATGACGATGAACGGCAGAGGAAACTAGAAGCTGGAAGAGCGAAGGTTTGTTGCTAATATTTAACGCACGCTAACACTGAATGCTAGCAGTTAGGTTAACGATAGCCAACTCTTTTGTCATAGCTTTGTCATAGTTTGTCCAGTGTTGACTACACCCACCTCCAACATGTCGTACGTTTGGTTTAGCGTTGCTTAGATAATATTTGCCCGTTAAGTTACAAGTAACGTTACACGTAACTTTATTCATTTGCCGCGCTTATGCTGCGGGTTGATCATTAGCTGAGATTGCACTGAGCTAACGATAACAATAATATTTATGGGGCAGCGTTACTAACATATCTAGCTATATAACTATATCGTTAATGAGTTTAATCACTTCTTAGTTCATGTACACTGAGTCCAGCAGGTACAGAAAGATTTGTTTCTCACCTGTAAAATAGTTAATGTTGCAGTTTCAGCCTTTTAAAACAATAAAATGACAATTTACAATCCCAATGTTGGATATTGACCTTTTCTCATTATTTTCTTTCAAGCTTCCCACAGCTTTTTAGAAAGATAGTATATAACACTTACAAGAGCAGATGGCATTATGTTCTTAAGATATAGTGTTACTTCGGTTGGAGGCCATATTAGTAATAGGCCAATAATTAAGAATGGCCTCCCCTGTATTGATAACCAGGCCACGTTTAAAACTACTACCTTACTAACGTGTTCAGAGTGTCTTCTTGAATTGTATTTCTTTGGTTTTTGTAGTTCACTTCCAGCTCATTGTAGGCCTCTTTCAAAACGTATGTGCATCAATATGATGCATAATATCAACTGAACCACTGATATTCCTTACGACAGAAATCCTCAAATATGCCCAGAAGCCAGTCGGTAAGTATAGAAACTGGTGACTGGCAGAGACGTTCGACTTTGTCATGGGATTGTGGGTTAATGGACATTATTTCTTTGTGATTTAGGTGGTCTTGCTTTTTGTTTTGTTGTTTCTCTTGGCTGGGAAATCAGTGCCTTCTTCTTCTTCTTCTTCTTCTTCTTTTATATTGGCTTTCAGTTTTCTGAGATTAAAAGAATGACTCTCAACACAGATGATCAAGACTGTAACCTTGAAAGCAAATCATGTTTTTGCATTTGCAAATTTCAATGTCTAATGTAGTTGCGCACCTCGCATGAACTGTCATGCTGGTTGCAGGCCATCAGGTGGTGCAGTGAGCCCATGAGATTTGGCTTCAAGGTTCAACATCATGCACTTGCACTTCACATGAATGGTGTTGCTATGGCAATGCAGTGCTGTCAGTTGCCTTTACTGTATTGGGTGCACTAAAAAGCTCAGGTTTTTATTTTTCCCTCCCAATGCAAGGCATGTATGTATACAAATTATACACGCGGCCAGACCGACAAACAAACATACATATAAGATACTGTGAGGAGTCTTGGTGTTGACATTGTTGAGAACACACAAGAAGCCTTCAGTAACATCCGATGTGGCCACAATGAGCTGCATCTAGCCAGTTAGTCAGACTCTCAGAAACGGCCTTGGGCTAAACAACGCTCATCTGGCTAATATGTCTCTCTGAGACGTGATGTGTGTTGTGGCAGGTGGGCGGAGGCGGTGGACAGGGTGATGGAAGGACATGAAGGGTGGGGTTTTAAGGGATAATGGGTATAACCGCAGATGAAACAATGGGAGGTGGGAAGAGATTCAAGTGTGGTGGAGTTGAGGGAATGATTGTTTTTTACGCAAAGCTTTTTGGTTTTTGGAGTCAAAAGAGGAAGATGGTATGGTGGTGGATGCATCGAGTGGCGCTAAACGGGAGAACAAAGCAAATCCAGAATGTGGTTTTTATAACATGTCGTCGGAATAAACATCGGCTCAAATGCACACGGTGTTGTCATGCACCTGCATGTGACTCATCACACAAAGCAACAAGTAGCTCTCCCGGTGCCATGCAATCTCGGTTTCTATTGAGCATGCACACACACACACAGATGCTGGATCCCTGTCTCCTCCTCTCCATGTGAATGCATCTCCCAGTCTCCACCCTCTTCCTCTTAGCCGAGACACATGCCAGCCCCTATCCAGAGTTTGTGGATCCCTCTGCACCGTAACGTTGTGGCAGTGGCAGGGAGTTTGAGGATGAGGAGGTTGGCACAGTGTGCTGTTTGCCTACAGACTGCAAGATCTACATCTGGACTGTCCTGATGAGAAATAATGGGACAGGTCTGACCACCGGCAAGAAAGGAAATCGATGGTTGACTGTCAGTTATTGATGGAGGGATTCACGAGGGTCTCTGTCACAATGTGGATGGCTGTAATCTAATTTTAAGCTGCTTAAAGAAGAGAAATCGGCTGAGAGAGAGAGAGAGAGAGAGAGAGAGAGCGAGAGCGATAGAAAAGAGGAATGTGTTGCAAAGAGAAACTGCCTGAGATGGATTTCTACCAAATCAGTCCTTCTGGACTTCAAGCAAAATATCGTGACTTGTTTGGTGGTGATGTTTTTCACTGTGAATGAACTTTTTGGGTGCAATTTCTTGATATATATTTTTTTCCCCTCATGTCTTCAGAGAGGACTTTGTGATCCCTCAAAAAAAACAACTCCTGTTAACCAGTTTCCCCGTCTCTGACTTTGACTTTTCTACATGTCAGAAAATGAAAAGACAGACATGGATGTATACTTTGTAAACTCTTTGAACCTTGTTCTCTTTCTGCCGGGCTGAGAGGCTGTCCAATGTGTGTCACTAAAATCTGCACGTCTCATGGGTTTGACGTAGCTCTCTGGAGATTTGAGAATATTTAGCATCGTCGCCTCATTTTAAACCTGGATACTTTGTCAAGCAATGTTGAAGCCTATTTTTGGTATGAGTTTGGGATTTCTTCTTGCTTCATTGGGCACCGTCTTTTTTTTCTTCTTTTTTTTTTCTTTCTTTTTTTCTTTTCTTTTTTTTTTTTGCTGCACAACTCTGACTCATCAAATCTATGCCAAATCTAGTTTTCTTTTCCAAAGCGGGAACTACCAACAACTTGTATACTTTGCACAATGATTTCAGAATGATGCTTTTGTAACTTTTTTAAACTGAGGAGATAAATCTGGAATCCAGTTGTCTCTCCGCCTTGACCCCTGAGCTCCACCATGCTGATAGTGTGGTGGTGCTCAGTGGTCCTGACCTATGTGTCCGTCTACCTCTCGCTGTCCTTCCTGCGCAGCTTGCTAGCTTCCGACAGAAGCGGGCGAAAGGCGACGGTGCGGGGGCGCCGAAAAAGACGCAGAAGAGGAAGGGCAAGGCTGTCTCGCAGAATGACGGAGCGACGCAAGGCCGAGCCGTAGAACCGGCGCTGTCCTCAGCCAATGACGTGGAGCTGAGCGAGAAGACCGATCACGAGGTAACACAACTAATCAAGATTATCGGTCATGCATCATTGATAGAGTTACAGAAGAAACAATTAATTCACAGCTGGTCGTTTCCACTGCTTTACTGTTCACGGGTCACACTGCCTGACCTCCATTTGTCTGCTCACTGTATGTTTTAACAAGTGGTCCGTGCCCCCCCCCCTGCTCAGTTAACATACATTATAGAAATGGGTCACTAACCATTACGTTGCCTGTGGGGCATGTTGTCATAGCAACCTGGTCAGGATTAACCGTGGCACTATTAACGGCAACATTAGATTACGCATGGATTGCAATGACAACAAAAAAAACAATGTAATTCTAAAACTATTTCATCCTTTAGGAACCCCAGAACCAACCACCGAAGGATCCGCCCCCCCCCACCCTGGAGCCAAGATCGTCCGCTGTGAATGATTTTAGAGAAGGCGAACTAGTTGCACTCACTGGCAAAGAGCAGCTCAAGGTATACAGAGTATGTTTATACATTTACAGAGGATATCTTGCTTTTTTTTTTTAGGGTATGATGGCATTTTCCATAGTGCATGTTGAAGCATTGGAATACTTTTATGTCCTCTACGTAGTTCCTTTTGGCTTTTTTCTGGCTGTTGCTGTCAAAGACTCAACTGGGCTTAGGTATGACTCTAAATGACGAGCAAAAGGGAAGCATGAAGATGGGTTTAATGTCTTGAACGCATACTTAGCATTATGATCTCTGAATTCCCACATTGCAAACTGGTCTGTGAACTTATTCGATAAATCAGTGTTCCTGTTTACATGACGTGATGAAGTGTGTTGAGATTTGTTTGGAGTAAATTGTCTTCATGCTTTTTTTAGCCATAAGACGATGTGAGTTTTGGTGTGCTATTGCTGTGTGTACGATTTAAGATGGTGTGTGTGTGTGTGTGTGTGTGTGTGTGTGTATACGTGTTTCGTGTCATCAGCAACCCATGGGGAATGTAACTGTCTGCTCTTCTGCATGGCTGCTTGGCTGCACTGATCTAAAAATACTGCATAGCTCCCTTATATTATGTATGTGTTTAGAGGAATGAGTTTAAACTAGGTGTTTTAAAAAGCCTAAAGTTATGTTATGTGAATTAGGGCTGCACAGTTAATTTATTTTCAATTTATATTTATCAGTATGACCTACTGCAATTCATATATCACAGGAGGTGAAATGTGTGTCAAAATACCATTTCATGTTAAATATTGTCATGCTGCTAAGTGGCCTACTCATCATATACTCGAGCATCTTTGTTTGGTGCAGATCCCTGCAAAAAAAAAAAAAAAAAAAGGAATTTGTCTTATTTTGTACTCTTTAAGTGTTTATGTGCTTATAAAAACAACCCATACATGTATTCCACTTGCAGCAGCTCCAGCAGGCTGTGGAGAAGCGTAATGAGATAATTGCTCGGCTCAGCTCCAACCTGCAGGAGGCGCTAGCCAGCAGAGACCAGGTTCAACTGGAGGCTCAGTCACTTGCTGGACAGATTCAGGCGCTGCAGAGACAGCTCCAGCAGGTCCGTGACACTCAAAGCTGAATCTGTGTGCAGCACTTCAGGATTATTGTTGATGTACACGTCACCATTCATGTGCACAGCAACTGAACTTGCGTCTTCTCTGAATTGTCTTTCACACAGACCAGTATAGAGTTTCTGCGCATCAAAAGTCAGTCGGGGGCTGAAGTCCTCAACACCCCACAACAGCATGGCCATTGCTTCCAAGATGCAGACCTCAATCAGAAGGAGGCACCATCGGAGGAATCAGGGAGTGCAGGTCCTGGCTTCCAGTCGAGTGTTGAAGGCTTTAGCACTGGCAATGGCGGTGAGACCGGCACTGTTTTACACAAATTGAGGGCCGAGCTGGTAGAAGAAAGGCAGAATTGCCAACGTTTGTGTGCTGAACTAGTGGAGGAGACGGAGAAACACCAACATGTGCTTTCTTTACTGGATAAGGAGAGGAAAGACAGGGAAGAGGAGCTACAAGACCTCCAGGCCCAGTTAAGCTCAGTGCAGACTCAGTGCCTCGAGATGCAGCAGTACAAAGAGGAGAAGGAGAAGCTGAACAGAGAAGTGATCGAGCTGAGGAACAGGCTTCAGGAGGAAGACGACACAGAGAGGAGATTTAGTGAGGAGGTGGCCAGCTCTGCTCTTTGTCTCCAGAGACGGGAGGAGGAGATGCAGAAGCTCAAAGAGGAGCTGGAGGGAGTCAGGCAGCTGTTGGAGGAGAGGGAGAAAGAACTGAAGTTTAGAGAGGAAGAGGTCATCGGACTCAAAGCTTCGAAGAATAGGCAGAACCAAGCAAAAGCTGGTTTCAGTTGTGAGGAGAAGATGAGCACAGATGAGGCCAATCTGGAGAGCGGACCTGTGGAGGACAGCATGAATGTGTCGCTACTGGGAGATATTCTGATGGAGCGCTACCTGTCTGCAGCTCCTCCTGCACTCTCTCACTCTTCATTGGTCAATGAAAGCTTTGAACACTGCAATCAGCTGGACTGCTCTGCAGACTACAGGTTAGAGAAATGCTAATTGCTAATGGTGTTTGTGTGTTGTTTAGGCTAGTTTAATCCCCTTATGTGTCTCTGTGCCTCTCTTCACAGTTTTGAGCTGAACAGTGAGGTGTTGGGAGATGAGCCTCTGTTGTCGATTTCAAACCGTTTCCCCGAAGAAAGCGTCAACCTCCAAAACACGTCTACCCCGCGGTGCTCGCCTGGCATTCCTGTGGAGGAAAATTCTCATCCTTGGCTTCATGACTCCTCTTCCGGCGAGCTGGAGACGAGTAAATTCTCTGAGCGGCAGTTTGAGGAAACTGAGGAAACTGACCTGGAAAAGGAGCTGCTGAATCAGCAGTGTGGGGAGCTCCGTGAGGAGCTGCTTCTCAAGGACAGGGACCTGAATGTGTTGAGGGAGGAAGTCATCAACAGTGCTGAGGAGCTGGAGGAGGCCAGGAGCAGGTAATGAAGTTAATTAGGGAAGGTGGTTCTTTTCTTTTCTCTGTTAAATGTGTTTGTATTCATCAAGTTTTCATCTTATGTTTTTTATAATATTATAAATGAAGTATTTATTGGTCTTTTCTCCACCAAGTAAAAAAAACATTCTTGGTTCATTTAAAGAAAAATGAAAAAAAGTATTGCCACTGGTAAATGGCATTAAATTAAATTGTGACAATTATCTTAAAATCTGTTAACCTTTTTTCAAACTCATTCTACAAGTTCTAAAGTGACCCTACGTTTCCATAAGTTGCTCAAAGCTATTCCACAATTTGAATCAACTTGATAATGTTTTTAAAACTCTCTTTGTACGGTCAGGTGGGCCCAAGTAACAGAAGAGCTAAAGCAGGCTCTCTGGGAACTTGAAGAAGAGAAGGATACGAGGAGACACGTAGAGGAGGAGATGAACTTGAAAGCCCACGATCAAGACAACCTGAAGAACAAACTCGGTGCCTTAATGGAAGAAAGAAAAAAAGAGAATGCAGTGATGTTGTTTGGAAAGGAGGCTGCTGAAACCTCCCTGCTGGGTCCTGCTACCTCTCCATCAGAGGGGGGAAATAAACCGGTAGGGGAGCAGGAGAAGGAGGCTGCACTCCCGTCTCATCAAAAACAGCAGGAGCTGATGTTTTTGTCTCTGCAGGAGATGAAGCAGCCTGAAATGTCTGCCAAACAGAGTCCGGAGCTCAGCCACGACAGCCGGCTGCAAACCCTACAGGTACACCAGTATGATGAGTGGGTTTGAGTCGACAGTTTTATCGAAATGTAAACATCCTAGTCTCTGTATGCAGCAGTTGATTTTGACCCCTAACTCACTAACGATTAATGGAAAGAATACTTTACAGCAGCAGTAGTTTGAAATGGAGGCGGCAATAAGAAAAATTACTATAATGTTCCCTTTCTTCCTTTCCCCGAAGGCTCAATGTGAACTTCTCATGTCGGAGCTAGAGGAGACAAAAACAACACACAAAACCATAACCGCCTTACTGGGTCAAAGGACTATGAAGCTGGATGAAACATTAAAGGAGCTCGAAACGACTCGCGCGCAGGTTGTAAATATTAGAACAGAAGTTGAAAGACTGCGGGAAGAGCTGGAGAAGAGCCAGGGCAGTCTGGACAGTGCTGAAAAGGAGAAGAATGAACTGGAGTCTCAGATCTTCTGTCTGAGACAAAACCTGGCCAACCTGGAGGAGGCCCAAGCCCAGGAGAGAGAGGAGCAGAGGAGAAAAGAGGAGGAGATGGATGACCGGATTAAGAAGATGGAACAAGTCTTAGAGGAGGAACTGGAACAGTTTGAGAACATGCTAAAAGTGAAGGATGTTGAGGTGAGATATATGATGTGACAGCAGTTGATTTATTTTTCTATTGTTTACACTACTGTCAAGAGATCAAAATGATGTGCAAAATTGATTTTTACAGTTGGTCGAGGAGAAGGAGAAATGGGAGGAAGAGAGACAGGAGAAGGAGAACGAGCTCCTCGATGTGAGGCAACACCTGGAGGAGCAGCGAATGGAAAGGCAGGAGGAGGTGAAGGCTCTCCTGGAGAAGCAGCTCGCGGCTGTTGAGGAGGCTGCAGAAAGGCTCGAGACATTTCACCAACAGCAGATAAAAGATATGACGGAGAAACATCAACAAGAGGTGGGATTTAACAACCTCCGTGTAGCTGGATACAGATTGATCATCATTACATTTAAAATGAACAGAATAATAATAGGACTTTGCCGCATTAGTGGTGCTAAACTCTTTGTTGGATTGCCTTATAAGTCTTGTAATTTCCTTGATATGTTTATCTCTATAAATTCTTTAGATTTCTGAGTCCAACAATCATCTGCAGTCTGAACTGCTGAAGCAGAAAGCTATTATGGAGGAAGAACAGAAGAGACAGATCAGCCTAATCAAACAGGTATCAGAATTGATGAGTCCGAACACTTCACTCTAAGATAGACGTACTACGGTGGAATATCCCTTCGTTAGTTAGCATTTTTAGCATTAGCATTTATTGTATTTTCAGCTCGTCACTTCTGCCATTGTGTCTTTCCCCAGGTGACTGAACGTGAGCACGAGAGGATGGTTTCAGAGCTGACTGCCAAACACGATGAGGAGCTTAGTCACGTGAGGATGGAGGTGTCCTTGGAGCTGAGGGAGAGCATGGAGGCGGCCCACCAGGCTGAACTGCAGCAGGCACAGGTATATTACGATATACTGTGTGTGCATACGGCACCAAACATCTTCAGCCGACGCTTATATCTGTTTCCTCACAGTCAAGGGAATTAGAATGACTTTAGGGGCTTAGGAATTCAACTTGTACTCAATTGGCATGGGGGATAAGGGTGTCTGTTAAATGTTAATATAACGCAACTGTCTTTTACCCCAAACATGCAGTCACTACTAGACTTTATATACCTTTTTTACTTATATTTACCTTTTACGTTATACTTTTCATTACCTTTAGGTCCAAAAGAACAGTGAGCTTGAAGCCTTGCGTCTGAGCCTCACTAACGTCCGCACGTCCCAGCTGGAGCAGGAGACGTCTCTCACCAAGGTCTCTTCCTCCCCGAGGGAGACCTTCGCCCAGGAAAGTGCCCTTCTGCAGGCCCGGCATCAATTAGAACTGGACCAGATCAGACGGCAGGAGCAGCAGGAGAGACTGTCCGAGCTGCACCAACAAGACATGAGTGAGTGCTTTTTCCAGTTGTTCAGTCGGTGTTCTTTTGTCTTTTACGTGTGCCTGTAGGTGCACTCAACATGTGTGCCATTATGGGTGTGGGTGAGTCACCCTTATTCTTTAGAAAACATGTTCAGGGCAAAGTAAAGCACAATGACGGATGTAACCTTCAAATTCTTTGACGTGGGTGAATCTTTTCATTGGCTTTGTGTATGTTCAGATGAGTTGAAGCAGCAGTGGGAGACTCGTGTTGCTCTGGAGAGAGCGGCCATGGAGGAGGAGCAGGCCAAAGAGATGCAGGTCATTTCATTACTGTTAATCGAATGCTGTTCAAACATCTGTACTGCTATTTCATTATTTAGCATATTTAGGATGTTTTACCATCTTTAATTCATCGTGGTCATCAGGCTCTGAGGTCACAGTGGGATAAGGAAGCGGAGAGCACCCAGTCGAACCTCCAGACATCTCTCTCAGAGACCCAGAGCAGCCTTAACGCCACCCACATGGAGCTCGCCAGCACCCGTGTCTGCCTCAACCAGACCAACAAAGCTCTAACTGAAGCCCAGACAGCTTTGTCCCAGACCCAGTCAGAGCTGCGGGAGTCATGGACCCGGCTCCAGGAACACCAGGCCTCCAGTAAGGAGCAGAACCAACAACTGGAGGAGGAGCTGAAACAAGCCTGGGCTGACAGAGATGCTGCTGCCCGTGAGTTGCCTACTTTCACTGAGGCTGCACAATCTAAATTCATTATTTTAATAATGAAAACGTGCCATTTCAATCTATCTTCTGCATGGAAATAATAATAAAATGTTGTTTTTTTGCTTAGGTGCTCTGGAGGAGCTGGTTTCTAGTCATAACGCATTGCTGAAGGAGAAAGAGCAGCAAGTACTCCACCTAGAGGAGAAGAAACAGCAACTGCACCTAGAGGTGAGTTCACTCAAACACATTAACATGTTGTTAAGTTGCGATTTATTTCTCATTTCAGTCCACAGGCCCTAACATTAAATAATGGAACTTCGTGTTTTTTTTCATTTTATAGACCTTAAGCTAGCATCAGCCTATAAATGATAGGAAATTTAAAAATCTTAAAAAATACAGTATGTTTACAGCAGCTGTGGTTCCATTCACATATTTTTATGCACATTTTTAAGTATCGAATAAGACAAGATGTGTGGAAACCGCAAAATTTGCTAAAACTTCCTAAATTGCGCATAAAGGTTTTTACGCTTCCTTGAGGTGGTTTTTACTTTTTTTTTTTTTTTTTTTTTTTTTTTTTTTTTTT